TTGTGTTGTACTGTCCTTTTCATTTAGTTCCAGGAATTCTTTTATTTCTTTGTTATTTCTCTTTTGACCCATTCATCATTTAGGAGTCTGTTGTTTAATCTCCATGTGTTCATGTGGTGATCAGGGCTTCTTCCAGTGTTAATTGTAAGCTTTATTGCATTGCTGTCTGATAGAATGCATGGAATTATTTCAGTCTTTTTGTATTTGTTGAGGTTTCTTTTGTACCCCAACATATAGTCGATTTTGGAGAAGGTTCCATCGGATGCTGAGTAGAAAGTATGTCCTTTGGTGCTGGGGTGGAATATTTGAAACATGTTTGTTAGGTCCATTTGATATGTATGGTATCATTTAATTCAGACGTTTCTCTGTTTATTCTTTGCCCAGTTGATCTGTCAAATGGAGACTGGGGTATTGAAGTCCCCTACTAATACTGAGATGGGTTAATCTGTGTCATAAAGTCCTGTAGTGTTGTTTTAGTGAAATTGGGTGTACCAGAGTTTGGTAAATATATGTTCATGATTGTAATATCTTCTTGATTCATTGTTCCTTTGATCAGAATGAAGTGGCCATCTTTATCTCTTTTGATTAGTTTTAAAATCTATTTTGTCAGGTATTAGAATTGCTATACCTGGTGTTTTCTTAGTGCCATTTGCTTGGTATATTTTTTTCCATCCTTTCACTTTGAGATAGTGTCTGTCCTTGAAAGTGAGATGAGTTTCTTGCAGACAACAAAATGATGAGTTTTGTTTCTTAATCCATTCATATAGTCTGTGTCTTTTGACTGGGGAGTTCAGTCCGTTAATGTTTAAAGTTATTAATGAAAGATGAGTATTGAATCCTGTCATTTTTTTTATTCATATTCTTGCTATAGTTGTACTTTTACAATGTTATACTCTCCTTGGAGTTCTTTCTGCAACCCCTTGGGTATAGTCATTCCTTTCTTCAGTTCTTTGTATTGCTCCCAGAACTCTCTGAAGGCCTGGTTTTGTGGACAAGAATTCCTTCA